GCTTAAGGAGATTTTACCAGATAGTTCATTCTATGGACGTGGATCACAACTTGGGCCTGCAGTTATTATAACGGATAATTCATATGCAAAGCGTAATGCTCTTTCACTTTGCTGGCCAAATAGTATCAGATTGCTTTGTGTTTTTCATATTTTGCAGTCGGTTTGGAGATGGCTTTACGACTCAAAACATAAAATCCACAAAGACTATCACACATTAATTATGCAATTGTTCAAAAAAGTCTTATATGTGCCAACTATTTCTGAAATAGAAATCCCATTTTTTGACTTAAAAGGAAGCTACTTTACCAAATATACTCAGCTTACAACGCACATTTCACATCTTTGGGAATGGTGAACTTCATAGGCACTAGCATATTATCAAAATTTATTAATTCGGGGAACTATACAAATAACTACATTGAAAGAAGCTTTGGGCTTATTAAGGATCTTATTTTGCTCGAACTCAGGCATATAATGCCATACAGATATTTGATTTTATTACAACTAACATGGAGCGTTTCTATGAACGGTGACTAATGGCTATCGCTAACCATCATCCAGGTCATCTTGAACTATCAAAGCGATTTCTTTGCCCTGGATGGCAACAAATTGACTTGCAAAAAATACAATATGATAACTCAACCGGTCTGTATATTGTACTGAATACAAGCACTGATAAATTTTATATCATTAACTCATCTATAGGAACATGCACTTGTCTCGCTGCACTCGGTGGGGCTTCATGCAAGCATCAGGCAGCAGTCGCAATAAAATATCATGCAGGGTCTTTTGATTTTTTTTCCAGCTCTGTCTCTTGATGACTGCGTGAAATATAGTTACATTGCGTGCGGTTGGTAAATGTGTTTTATGCTATAAGGTTATGCTTAAAATATTAATTTAATATAAATGGAAGGCATAATCGTTGAAGATCCAACTTTTTTCACATCTTTGTGGGAATCAACCAATAAATGGGACGATGAAGTAATTAGTGAAAGAAGTGACAAAACAGCAAGCAGACCAAGTGAGGAAATAAGCGATGTTCAGTCACTTAAAGACATTGAAATTAGATCAGCATTTTAAACTTTTTAATATTTTATGATTTGTAATAACTCAAAATTCATTTAATAACTACATAGCAGCGAAGATTTGAACGAGCATATAGTATCCGTTGAAAAATTCTTTCAACATATCATTGATGATATCAAGAATAATAGCCAACTTCTTGCGGGCATTGAACATTTCATAAAAGGATATGAAAAATCTGAATCTCTATCAATAGGCAAGTTGACGTCTTATCTATTTCAACAAAAGTTTTTGTCGTAGTCAACGAATATTCGAAGTGGGTCAAAAATTAGAGTTCAACCCGCATCAATTCAAAGAAGGAAATCTCGTGTGCAGAAAGAAAAATATTGATCCAACTGAAATGAAGGCTCGCAAGAAAAGAACAACCACCATAATTTATCGAAAAACGTCGCAGAAAGCAAGCCAAATTAACGGCTAAAAAAAAGTCTAGAGTTGTATTTTTTTAGAACGTCAAAATTGAAATCTATTTGTAGTACCTATGCGCACTGTAAATTGCATTATATACTATAATTATATTATCGTTATTCAATTGTAAAAAAAAATAAAATTCTTAGCGTTAGTTGAAAAAATTTTACATTGGTTAAAAAAAAAAATCTGAAAAAAAAATTGATCGTTTAATTTCCGGACCATCATCCGGACCATCATCCGAACCCAACCTGG